AATGTTCAAGGTCCACTATATGAGTGAGAACATGTGATACTCAGATGTTTGTTTCTGTGAGAGGTCACTCAGTATTATAGACTCTAGTTCCATCCAGGTTGCTGCAAAATTCATGATTTTGCTCTTTTTTATGGCTGCATAGTATTCCATCATGTATATGTGCCACTTTTTTTAATCCAGTCCTCTTTTGATGCACAGCATGGTTGATTCCAGGTTCTTGCTATTGTGAACAATGCTGCAATAAACATACGTGTGCAGGTATCTTTTTTATAGAGTGATTTGAGTTCTTCAGGGTATATTCCCAGTAAGGGGATTGCGGGGTCATATGGGAGGTTGAATATTTAGAGCTTTTAGGAATTGCCACACTGCTTTCCACAGAGGTTGCACTAGTTTATAGGCAGTAACTTTTTCATAGACTCTGTATTAATATTCTAGCACCTAGCATAGTATTTGATTAGCACACAGAGACCAACTAGCATGTGCAGGGTGGAAGAACACATGAACATTCCCTGCCTGTTTTTAAGGGTCTGCAGACTAATGGAGTCATTGTAGTCAGGGACCCTTAACTGATTTTGTGTAGACATCCCTTGAACCTATGCTGTCCAATAGAACTTTGTGTAGTGATGGAAACATTCTATATCTGTGCTGTCCAATATGGAAGCCACTAGACCAAGTGGCTTTAAACACTGGAAAAGCAGCTAACGCAATAGAACCGCAATTTACATTTTATTTCATTGTAATTAATTTGAATAGCCACATATGGCTAGTACTGGACAATGCAGCTTTAAAAGCTCTGTTGAAATATATGCACTCAGAAAAATATACACATACACAAAACTGTGCATACAATTTATGACATTCAGGGACACTCTCAAGCCCATCCATATGTCCCTAGATCAAGAACCTCCAAAATAATGAGAATAGGATGAGCAGGGATACAGAGAGCAAGATATAGAACTAAAGAACTGAGATGGAAAATGGGCAAATGCTCCCATTCAGAACCCTGGAAGGAGCTACATCTATCTTGTTTACCATTATATACCCAGAGCCTAGTATGAACCTAGCACAGAGCTGGCACTCAAATATCTGCTGAATGAATTAGTTTTACTGGATATCTAATTCTTCCCAGTCCTAGGAGTCCCAGAGCTCCTGAGTTACAGAGGATTTCAGTGATAAGGGAAGTTGGCTGACTCATGGAATGGACATAAGGTTTTCTTGAAGTTGAGTAGACACTCAGATCCATGAGTATCCTATTTCACCTGGACCATTTCTATGCCTTGCAGTTCAGAATCCCTTGTGATATATAAACCTTGCAAAGGCTTCAATAGTCAGTGACAGTGAGCCAAATACCAGAAGCTCAGGGTCAAATGTCCCCAAAGCCACTCTCCTTGGGTGTCGCCTCCTATTTTCTCTAACTCTGGAATATACCTGTCTTCTCTCACATTGCCCCTCTATCTGGAATTCTTCTGTCTCTGCTAGACAAATTCTTTGATTAATTTTTGTATGTTGATTTTGTACTCTGTAATTTTTCTGAGTTTATTAGCTTTAATAGTTATTTTGTGGATTTTTAAAATACATATGTGTGTGCATATATACATGTGTGTGCATGTGTATAAATATATACTCCACGTCATCTGAGCATAGAGATCATTTAACTTCTTCCTTTCCCATTTGGATGCTTTCTTTTTTCTTGTCTAATTGCTCTGGGTGGAACTTTCCATACACTGTTGAATTGAAGTAGCACAGTAAAAGCGGGTATCCTTATCTTACTCCTGATCTTAGGGAGAAAGTTTTCAGTCTTTCACCACGGTGTGCATGTTAGCAGTAGGTCTTTCATAAATGTCCTTTTCCATATTGGGGACATTCTTACCGCTTGATTCTTGCCCTGCATTTGACTTCTCTCCTTTTTTTTTTTTTTTTTTTGAGTTGGAAACTCACTCTGTCACCCAGACTGGAGTGCAGTGGCCGCTCCCAGCCACCGCAGCCTCGACCCGCTGGGCTCTGGCGATCCTTCCGCCTCAGCCTTCCAAGTAGCTGGAACTACAGGCAGGCACTACCACGCTCAGCTAATTTTTGATTTATTGTAGAGATGAGGTCTCGCCAAGTTGCCCGGGTGGGTCTCGAACCCGCGGGCTCAGGCAATTCACTCACCTCAGCCTCCCAAAGGCGCGGGATTACAGGTTGAGCCACTGAGCCCGGCGCAATTGTGTTTTTTATTCTTACATTTGTCTACACTGGTTGTGTGTGTGTTTTTACTATTATCATGAATTCAAATTTATTATATAATCTTGCCAGTTTTACGTGTTTTATTATATTTTATAGATGTGGGGTACAATTCAGGGTTAGGTATATACGTGGTCATTGTACAGGAGAAGTTTGGGCCTCCCATTGGTCCTCACTTTGCCTGGTATGGGATCAGGTACCTTTATTAGTGTTACATCTCCCCCTTACCCCCCCCAGTGACAAACTACTGCCAATTCCTTTCATGTAGTATTATGATAAATGTTCAGAGTCCATTTATGATAAGGTATGGTACTCAGAGTATCATGGACTCTAAGTCCATCCAAGTTGCTGTGAAATCCATAATTTTGTCCTTCTTTATAGTTGCATAGTATTCCGTTGGCTCTACACTAGTTGTTAACCACCTACTATATACCAAACATTATTTACTGCTGGAACATAGAGATGAATGCCTGACCCTTGCCCTGGTAGAGCACACATGACATGTGTAAAATACAAAGGGAACCAGTGAAGCTATGACAATTCTGTCTGGAAGTGTCAGCACAGATTTCCCAGAGGAAGAGACTTTTTTTTGAGTGGATCTCACTCTTGGTGACCAGGCTGGAGTGCAGCAGCACACTCACAGCCACCACAGCCTCCACCTGCTGGACTTAGGTGATCGTTCCGCCTCAGTCTTCCAAGTAGCTGGAACTACAGATGCACACCAGCATGTCTGGCTAGTTTTTGTGATTTATTGTAGAGATGAGGTCTCACCAAGTTGCCCAGACTGGTCTTGAACTCACAGGCTCAGGCAATCCTCTCGCCTCAGCCTCCCAAAGTGCTGGGATTACAGGCTGAGCCACCATGCCTGGCCAAGACTTTTTTTTCCACGTGCTTGTTGGCCACTGGTATATCTTCTTTGGACAAATGTCTACTCAAGTCCTTTGCTCATTTTTTTCTTTTTTCTTTTGAGTTGGAGTCTCGCTCCGTTGCCCAGACTGGAGTGCAGTGGCCACTCCCGGCCACCACAGCCTCGACCTGCTGGGCTCCGGCAATCCTTCTGCCTCAGCCTTCCAAGTAGCTGGAACTACAGGCGTGTGCTACCACGCCCGGCTAATTTTTTTTATTTATTGTGGAGATGAGGTCTCAAACACGCGGGCTCAGACAATCCATTCACCTCAGCCTCCCAAAGTGCGGGATTACAGGCTGAGCCACCAAGCCTGGCCCCTTTGCTCATTTTTAAATTGGATTGTTCGTTTTTGTTGTTGAATAGCCACATATGGCTAGTATTGGGAAATGTAGCTTCAAAAGCTCTTTTACCCACTGTTACTATACTACTTCAATTCAACAGTGAACAGAAAGTTCTATCCAGAGCAATTAGACAAGAAAAAAGAAAGCATCCAAATGAGAAAGGAAGAAGTAAAATGATCTCTATGCTCAGATGACAGGGAGTATATATACACATGCACACACATATATATGCACACAGTCTTTCACCTCCAGAGTGTATCAACTAAACAACAAGAAGACTAACAATTCAGAATAAAATTCTACTTAATTCCTACTAGGATTACTATAATAAAAATAGAAAACAAGTATTGGCGAAGATGTAGAAAAATTGGAACCCTTGTACACTGCTGGTGAGAATGTAAAATGGTTTAGCTACTGTGGAAAACAGTTTAGTAGACGCTCAAACAGTAAACACAGAATTACTGTATGACCCACTAACTCCACTCTAGGGTGGAATATATACGAAATGAACTGAAAACACATATTCAAACAAAAAACTTGTACATGAATGTTCATGGCAGTACTATGCACAATAGCTAAAAGGGAGAAACAGATTAATGAAATACAAATGAAATAAACCCATACAATAGAATATTAATCTGCTATAAAAAAAGATTAAAGTACTGATACATGCTACATGTTGGATGAACCTTGAAAACATTATGCTAAGTAAAAGACAAGACAGCCACAGGTCACACAGGGTATGATTCCATGTATATCAAGTCTCCTGAATAGGCAAATCCATAGAGATAGAAAGTAGATTAGTGGGCTAGGCATGGTAGCTCATATCTACAATCCCAGCACTTTGGGAGGCTGAGGTGAGAGGATTGTCTGAGTCCGAGGGTTCAAGACCAGCCTGGGAAACTTGGCACGACCTCATCTCAACAATAAATCAAAAAAATTAGCTGGGTGTGGTGGCACATGCCTGTAGTTCTGGCTACTTGAAAGGCTGAGGCAGAAGGATCGCCTGAGCTCAGCGGGTCCAGACTGTGATAGCCATGAGTGTGCCACTACACTCCAGCCTGGGTGACAGAGTGAGACTCCAACTCAAAAAA